CCCCCTCTGCCCCACGGCCGCAGCAGCAGCGGCTCTCGGGCAGGGCGAGAAACCCCCCGGAGCCCCCGGCGATGGGCAGGGGGCTCGGGGGCCCCAGTGCAGACCCGTCCGTCCCGTGCCCCTCCCGCCCAGCCAAAATCCCGCTCCCGGGGCTCGCTGGATGCGAGCGGGCGGCGCAGGTGAGATGCAAGTGGGGAGCGCTGGGCGCTGCGGCTCTGCCCGGGAACTGCGGACTCACCGCTGAGCAGCCTTGCAGATACATATTATAACATTGGCTTCTCGAAAATATTAAAAGGGCTTCTATAAGGGTTGTGTTAAAGTAACTCTGAGGTAAAAATATAGTTTTTGTTTGTGTTGTTAATTAAGCTTAGTGAAATAGCTGATCTAATGTGCTTGTGTTGCAATGCCTGCTTGAATGGGATCACATCCAAAGAACACAGGATGAGCACACCTGCTACAGATATTCCAACTATCAGCACTCACCTTCTGAAGACAGCATGGACCAAGGTCCAAACCTGAAGGTTATGATATAAATGGTCTAAAACCATAACCAGGGAATCCGCTTGCCCAAAAAAGGCAGACTTGAGGAGGAGATATGCTAAACAGTTCTTGGAATATGTAAACTGGATTTGGAAAAGTTTACATATAAGTTTAATAAAGTTTACTTTTAATAGTTATTCTGATAATTTCTAGAATTTTATAAACTTTACTTACAATTATTATATAATTCTACTTATATTATGGCATAATTATTTATGAATATGGAACAGGCTGATACATTGAAAATGGTATCTCAAGGATGTATCCCAAATAACAGGAATGATCTTGGCTATGAATGAAGACACAGCATGGATGTAACATCTTCGCTTGATGGTTCTTGTCTCCTATTGTCCTTTATTAAACTTTTAAATTTTCACAGGAGACTAGACTTGTGTTTCACAGGAAATTGGTCAGTGCGTCCTGTGGCAGGAATTGGAAAAGGCGCTGCGCTCTGCGAGTCTCCCCGGCAGCTGCCGAGTCCGAGCCAGAGATCTTTCCTAATTCTTTATGTCCCTGAGACCTCTTTCCTATTTCTCTACCTCACATTTCCTGGTCAATACTATCTTAATTAAAAT